GGAGCATAAATTTTCCTCACTGTATAAAAGGGGGCAGCACACACAGTCCCCAGAGAACGGTCCTCTCAATCCAAATCAAGGGCAATGGATAAGTATTGTGTCGAACCAGCTCTAACCGTACCCACAAACATGCTAGCACAAATAATGAGACCTTAATAATTCCAAACAATAAACGGTATATTATCAAACAACTAGCAGTCATGCAATGCAAGATAAGTAAACTGCAATACATCAGCAGCAACATTAATCATAAATCACAGCTACTACTACACAGTTGTGGCTGAAACAGCACTCAATGCATACAAAATATCTCTGCAGTTCAGTGAAGACAAGTAATCAAATGTCTCTTTACAAATGTCACTGTACAAACTATCAGCCAGTACCATGCTCTGCACCAGTACAGTCTCGATCAGCTACCAAGTGCGTGCAACTCCTTATATGGCAATAGTCTTAATGACGTCACAATATGTACTAATCGCAATAACACGCAACGAAACAGAAAAATAACATATCACAAGTTTAACAAAAAGTTAATAAATGTGTGTAAATCAGTGGAAACCAGCAACCATGTTGTTGACATATTTTCCTTTCAACTTCAGCAAGTGTCCAGAATTCGCGCGCTGCCGGCGAATACAACTTTTGGCGGCAAACAAACCACAAATCAAAAATGTTATGCTTGCACTCAAGATCCGACACGGACAATATCTCAGCACAACAACATTGAAACAATAATTAACCCAGGGAAACCGAAACAGGAGCGGTGGGGAAATAACCCAGGGAGAGAGTGATTTCGAGCTTGCTAATAAACGGTCATTACATCACATCCAACTTGTCGTCGACCTGAGTATCACTACAGTTTATTATCGTGACAAATGTAATACTCGGTTATGGCGAAGTCGGCCTATCACACATGAATCAGACAGTTTACCTCAGAGTCCTCTTTCGATTTACTCGCTTACCAGCAAATCCCACGTCGTCTTGATCACTCGTCGATGTCCCAAGTCTACCGCACAACAGCAGGCAATCGGGGTTACAGCGTCAGCCTCGTGGTTTGTAGGAGCGCAACGTCTTTCAATCATGGAAAGTTCGTATCACAGGATCCAAGATTCCCTCAGTCTCACAGCTGACTCCAGCGGCGACTCGGATGATTCCCCTTCTCTGTCACAAGTGTTCAGTCAGGAATCAATGCCGTTATTCGCCTGATTTAGATGAATCTTCACTCCGCTCACTGTAACTAAGTTCAGATTTTCCGGCCATTTTCCTGTCCTGTTTATAGCACGTTCCTTCAACCAATCCGACAACTCGCCTCTCCAGGTCAAAAGTCGATCACTCTCAATTAGCATAAAAAAATTTAGGAAAGACATCCCCAACCTGTGTCTCGCTCCTGTACACGGTGAATTCTAACAGTCTGAAATAAGCCACATACCATGGCATCGGGCAAACACCATGGCAACCAGTTTCCACATAAATACTAACCCAAAATATGATCCACACTCGGCTAATAAACCGGTAATAAAACAGCATTTCGTACATCACTTAAATACTGCATAATAGTACACTCAGTTACCTAGTCAACACTAATACTACATGTGACACACCCCGGCCCCAAACGCATTCACATCCCCGGAATGCAAGACAACAGCCAAAACCACTGTCCTGCCTTCCAAGTGACCGGTAATCAATCAACTATCATGTCTGCCAATAATCTTGTCATATGATTGTTCATGCACTCCTGACTCAAGGTCTGTGCTCAACTCCAGTTGCTTCTCTACAGACACTTCTTGCTTGTGTGGCAAGAACAAAGAGTCTTCCATTCCCTACTGCAGTTGTAGATTCCTAAAGCAGAGATAATAAAACATGCAATACAGGGGCAGGACCCAGGATAATTTACAAGGGTAAATAGACAAAAAAACGCCTTCTCCCTGTCATGTAGTAGAGAACTACGGAAGAAGAGGATACTACACAAATAAAAGTGTATTCGTCACGCACACTCACACAAAGTCAGGCAAACAACACTCCATCCTACAGACATCTCACCTCTCAATAACAGTCAACATGACACCAAACTCTGACAACCTACCTGCCAGTTAACCATAACACCCCAAAAGTCTACAATACTCATGTTCTGTGCTATGCCACAGGAAGGGACTGCTCAATCCTCTATGCACAGCAGACATCTAACCGAATGAGGTACGCCATATAGAACAGAGTACAAGAAAAAGGGATCCTGGGTGGTAGCGACCCAACCAGGGCAGTGACGAAGCTCATTTTAAACAGTACGTTCACAAGGGTGCTCAACTGCCACCCTCAGAAGAGGAGTACCATTCCTCACACCACAACACAGACTACAATGGGTGTGCAGGTAACCGACGACAAAAGGTTCCATAAACGTCTAACAGCAGGATTGTGAACATTCACCTCCTGCTCCAATGATTGCATTGTTCCATCCAACAGGCACAAAAGCTGGCGCACTAGGATCAATGTCGGACCTAACCAGAGTGTGCGAACAGTCAAATCCATATCGCAAGCATGGCTTCCTGTCTCTCAAAGGGTAGCGACGACCATAAGAGTCTGACCTACTTGCTTTGACAACATAATCAGTCTCAGACGTGACAATCGTTCCATCACCAGGCTCTGCTGCCGTCTCTATGACATCTCCTGTGTCGTCCGGCACCACTTCTGCATTCACCTCTAACTCACGATCCATTTCCACCTCTGGGGATACAGTGATATCAGGATCTCCATGTAATGGCATTTCTGGGCCCTCCTCACTGGTTCTTAACTCAGGACCATCACTTCCCACCGACATTGGTTCAGGGGTTGCATCAGCAGCAACATCACGAGGTAGATTCTCCTCAGCACATTGTTCATGCAGGTAAGTAATAATGTACCCACGGTCAGAGTCTGCATCCGTGTCTTCAGTGTCACAGTCAGCTTCAGATGATGCCTGTGTAGTTCGGTGCAACGCTCTGGTCCTTGGCTTCCTTGTTCTTTTGACTGGCTCGACAAGTTCCCTTCTCATTGGATGTGCTTCTCTGGGCCTTTGCAGTGCATGAAACGGTAACAACAAGTTGCGATGCAGGTTCTGTACCTTACCACCCTTTCTCAGGCTTAACTACATAAAAAGGTATACCACGATCATCTTGCCTGACAATGACATATGGATCCTTCTCCCATTGGTCAGCGAGCTTGTGCTTGCCACGCACCTTGACATTGCGCATTAATACACGGTCTCCAGGCGAGAGTTCAGACTGCCTGGCCTTCCTATCATAGTACGACTTGCTGATGAGGCTCTTTTTGTCCATACGAAGTGACACAATTTGGTAAGCCTCATCAAGACTGCGCTGCCAATTTCTCACATACTCATCCATGTCTTCTGTCTGTTCATCCTCAGTGACCAAACCCAAGTATATGTCCACAGGCAAACGAGGATGGTGCCCATGCGTGAGGAAATACGGGGTGTAACCAGTCACATCATGCTTCGTGCAATTATACGCATGAGTCACTGCACTAACATGCTGTTTCCAGTTCTGCTTGTCAGAGTTGGACAGCGTTTCCAACATACCAAGTAACATCTGATTAAATCGCTCTGTGATCCCACAGCCCAGGGCATGGTATGGGGTGCTCCGACATTTCACAACTCCCATGGCATCACACAGGTGCCTGATCACAGCACTCTCGAAGTTTCGACCCTGATCCGAATGCAGGCGCTCAGGGAAACCAATGTGCCGCACAAACTGCTCCATCAATGCGTCTGCAGTTACTTTAGCAATCTGGTTACGAGTAGAAACAGCTATGGCGTACTTTGTGAAATGGTCTGTTATCACAAGCACATCCCTACATCCTCTCTTTGATGGTTCAATTGATAAATAGTCCATGCAGACCAATTCCAGTAGTCTTGTCGACTTGATACTCACCAATGGAACTGGGGCTCTACCTTCAGCTGTCATCTTTCTGCATGTACAGCGTTCACATGATTTAATCCACTCAACTACCATCTCAGTCATGCCAGGCCAATAGAAGCGTGATCTCATCAAGTCCAAGCTTCTATCCTGTCCAAGATGGCCGACATCATCGTGCAAGGCCTCCATGGCTGTTACTCTGAATTTCTTGGGGAGGAACAGCAGCAACACCCTCTCACGCGCTGACTCCACGACACAACTGAAACTTTTTCCATTCCCTTAAGGCAACCTTTACCTCTGCTGGCAGTGTTTTACATTCTGCCTTGTCAGGTAAACTGCCTCTCTCAAAGTAGTCCAACACTTTCCCAACAGTCCAATCTTCCTGTTGTAAGCGCCTCCAATCCTCACGTGATATAGATGTCAACGACGTTGGTGCCACTGAACGCACATCAGGAATAAGGGCTGTGCTCGTCATCGCATCCACCATCTCCAGTCCAGGAACCAATGGTGCCAGGTGGTACTGGCACAGTGCTTGCACTGGCTTGTTCATCTTGACTCGCTCTTGTTCCCCTGGAGGCAACCATTTCAACCATTGAGGCGAACCACCACAATCTGTACTGTACCCTTGGATAGGCTTACGAGAAAGTGCATCTGCATCCCCGTTTTACTTTCCTGGTCTATACTCTACTCTATACTCTGGTCTATACTGAAATTATAGTCAGCTAGCTTTGATAGCCATCTATGTCCTGTTGCGTCCAATTTTGGTGTGCTGATCACATACCGTAATGGGTTGCAGTCAGTAACCACCTTGAACATTCTGCCCAATAGCATATCTCCGAACTTGTCAACAATTGCCCACTTCAATTCGAGGAACTCAAGCTTGAAGGCAGGATAATTCCTCTTGCTCTTAGACAAGCCTCTACTTGCATATGCCACCACATGGTTACCACTGCCTTGGTCTTGATAAAGGGCAGCCCCAAGTCCAATAAGGCTTGCATCAGTATGCAATTCAAACTCAAGGTCATAATCCGGGTAGGCCAGCACTGGTTGGCTGGTCAGCTTCTCAATCAGTAAGTCAAAAGCATGTTGGCACTTCTGTGTCCATGCAAACTCAGGAGGGTTCTGTCGTTTTCTCTTCTTGCCATGAACATGTTGATACAATCCCACGGTAAGATCATTCAGCGGCTTCGCAATTTTCGAGAACGCCTCCACATAATGACGATAATAGCTTGCCATCCCCAGGAATGTCTTCACCTCCTTCCCATTGCGAGGTATGGGGCAGTTACGCAGCGCCTCAGTCTTCACTGGGTCTGTGCGCACTCCTTCCTTTGACACGATATGACCCAGAAAAATTCACACTTCTTGGCTTTAACCTTCAAGTTTGCACTCTTTAGTCGCCTAAACATCTCACCCAGGTGTCTGATATGGTCGTTGAATGTCTTGGAGTACACGATCACATCATCCTGGTAAACAATGCATGACTGATTGACCAATTCGCCCAGGCATTTCTCCATGGCTCTTTGAAATGAGCTTGCACTGTTGCAAAGCCCCATTGGGAGACGGGGACACTCAAAATGGCCGACAGGCGTTACAAATGCTGTCTTCGAAACATCCTGTTCACACATGGCCACCTACCAATATCCACTCTAGAGGTCAATTGTGCTAAACCACTCTGCATCCTTCAACGCCTCCAGACTCTCTTCGATGCGAGGAATGGCATAAGCATCACGGACAGTCTTGGCATTCAATCGTCTGTAATCAATACACAGCCTTGTGGTTCCATCGCGCTTTGTGACCATGACCACTGGTGCAGCCCATGGGCTGTCAGACTCGCGTACTACACCACTATCCAACATGCCCTTGATGATCTCTCATAACTCTCCATATTTGGCAGGAGTTACTCTGCGGTGGTGCTCACGGCTTGGTGTTTCATCATTAAGTCTTATACGATGCTGCATAAGGTCACAACACCCAAGATCATTATCATGCAAGGAGAAGACATCAATGTTACGCTGAAAGGAATGATGCACCGTTTTGATCTGTGATCCACCAATGGGAGATTCCAAAAGATTGAACTTCACACCCTTGATGACAACACTAGGATCTCTGTCACTGTGCTCATCTCTCTCAGTCTCTTCCTTGACCATTGAAGCACTCTGCACACGGGTCACAGCAGTCACTTCTCCAACAGCGCTACCAGGTCTGATATACACATTCTTGTTGGTAGTGTTAAACACATGAACTGGCAGTCTTGAATTAGACGCATTACACTCCAACACTGTGAATGATGGCACAGCAATCGCTTGCATTCTCATATTGATTATCAGCTCCACCATCACTACATACTTGTCACCATCAGGGCCCTTTGGTAGGTCACCCATAATGATGGCATCCTGCTCTGGTCGGATGGCAAGAGGTCTGTCAATTACTGTCTTGACCATGCCCAAGTGACCAGTAGTACCAATAAACTCAAATTCTTAATCACACGTCTACTGGTTGCAGACATGCGGCTGCTCTGCACACATTTTCTGGTCAACAAGCTCTGCTTCACATTTGCAGACATGTCCAGTAGGTTCGTACCAATCGTGACTGGCACCACAGAACTATAGCGTGTATCAGGGACAACCAATACATGCACATCATACTCTTCCTTCTCACCAAATAGATCAGCAGGCAATGTGATGCTGACTACTAGGTACCCCAAAAACGGTACGACTTGGCCACCTGCTCCTCGAATTGAGAGGTCTTCCTCAAGGGGTTCAATAGGAATCTCACTCAGGTGCTCTCTATAATACCATTCACTGACTGTAGTTATCTGAGATCCTGTATCAAATAGACATCTTGCTTTAATTCTATTCACCATCACAGTAGCCTCGCATGCTGATCCTACCACTCGGTCCAGCACAGGTGACTGCATCATGAGAACGTGGTTACCA